AACTTACTACAGCTCTCTCCAATTTACTTCCCAGAACATGGGAAACTTTACTTACCTCCTCCTAGCCCCCTTCTCCCAACTGCACTCCTAAGTTACTCCCGCAAGGTCTTTTGCACTATAAACCAAGGAGCCTGTGTGCATGTCAGGGATGGCTGGCTGTGAGGGCAATGGGAACCTCGGTGAGGCCTCTGGCCCAGCCGCGGAGGCAATAAAGCTTGGGGACATTCCGTTCTGGGTTCTGATGTTGATGGGTCATTGTGCTCTTTTGTAAGAGGAATTTCATACCTTGGAGATGCTTTGTACATATTTGTAATGACTTTATTATAAAAAAAAAAACTGATTGTGCACTTCCAGTCAAAGGCCTTTGTGTTTTTATTTCCCCTTGGGAGGTTGGTCCACAAACCCTGGGAGAACCCCTGTCCTTGGGTCTTATACACTTGAGTCTTGCTGGGGCAGAAGCCTCTAATTCCTGAGAACTCTTCAAAGGGAGGTTTACCTTGAAACAATCCTCTTGGATTGGGTAAAAGTTTGGGGGAATTTGCCCAACAACACAAGGTCAGTATATAAAATCACCATTTGTGCATGGCATCACGTGGATAAGCTAATGAGCTTGTGGACGAATGTCCTTAATTATGCCTCATCAGCCACCATGGTTGGGCCGTTTTATCTGCATTCACCTGATCAGAGACAGGCCAAAATACCAGGTCACTTCCTGAGAATGGTGGGTGGGCTGAAAGCAGGTTGGCCTTTTCTTTCTAAAGAAAGGACAGGCCTTTTCCTTTCAAAACTTACCCTAATTCCTAGCTGCAGGGCTCAACATTTCACCCAAGCTGGCCACAGGTCCACATGCCACAGGGTATAACTGCTGGTTTGGGGATAGGTGGATGCAAGCCCATCTCAGGACTCTTGCTGGAGCTCTGGGATGAAGAAGACTCCTTTTGTTGGGGTGACTAAGCTGTTAGGTCATACACACAGGGCTTCTGGGGGTCATCCTGCCACCCACAAGACCCCAACTGCTTGAAAACCAAACTGAGGGAAAGTCAAGGAATAGAGACAGGATTCTTTCATTCCTGCAGCCCTGAATCTAGCTGTACCCATTTGTTTCTCTTCCTTGAAACAAATATATTTGAGTTGGTTTCATTTTTTAATTTTTATTTTATTTATGTGAAAAGCAAAGACAGAGAAATTATCCATCCATTGGGCCCCAAAACAGTTCGGGCTGAGCCAGGCATTCCATCAGAGTCTCCCACATAGGTGGCAGGAATCTAAACACTCAGGCCATCATCTGCCTTACCAGGTGCATTAGCAGGGAACTGGATCAGAGGCAGAGTAGCCAGGACTCAAACCAGCTCTCTAATAAAAGTATGCCAGCATCATAGGCATTGCACTACAATGCCAGCCCCACTTATGAGCTGATTTTGGACAGTGGCAACCGAAATGTTCTGCCTGTTTCCGTGGCCAGTGTCATCATGTTGTCTTCAGAGGCACAGTCACCTAATGCCATCAGCATATTTACATAGCCATTCCAATCTGGCAAACCCTTCTTAAAACAATCCATACATTCTGGGGCCAATCAGTAGCTAACTCCTACAGTAGGCAATATAAGTACAGTAATGAAGCCCCATTACATTCTTTTTGCCACTTTTGTATTCTGATCCTGTATATGCGTATGCTCTGTCAGCCCCTGAGAACTCCGGAGCTTGCCCTTGGACACGGGGCACTCTTCAGTGAACACCCCAAAGTGCCTGGGAGGTTTCCCATCCACCCAGAGCCAACTGGCTGGTGTGTGTTCTCGAATACAAAAGCCAGGGGCCGGTGACACAGGCTTTTGGTGCAGTGGTTAAGATGCTGGTTGGGATACCCGTAATCCCTACCAGAATGTCTGAGTTCAAGTCCTTACTCCCCTTCCAGACCAGCTTCTTGACTATGCACACCTGAGAGGCAGCAAGTAACTGTCCAAGTTTTGGTCCCCAGTATCCATGAAGGAGACCTGGATGGAGTTTCTGGCTTCAGCCGGCTGGAGCAGGTCTTTAGGGAGAACCAGCTGATGGGAACTCATCAATTTCTGAATCAGTGGACAGAAAGTCTGTCTCTCCCACTCTTCCTTTCAAACAAAACAAATTAACAAACAAACAAACAAAAAAACCCCACAGTAAACCCCCATTGTGGGTGGGGACAATCTTTGAGACAGCTCCCCACGGGACCCAGCTGAGACTGGGACTCCTAGCCTGGCCTTCTCTACTTCCCACTTCACTTCATTCATTCCCTTGCTGGTTTCTCCTGGGAGCACCTCCTAAGTCAGTCCCGCACACTTCGCCAGAACCTTCGAAAGATCATCTACCCATCCCACCACACGCTTCTCTCCCCATCTCAGTCAGTGTGGTTTCTTCAGTAGTTGGGAGATCAAGACTAGGAACATAACCATGTCACCACAAGATCTTTACTGTCAGCAGACACTAACAAACGGCAGGCACTGTCTGGCCCACAGCACAAAGCTTAGAGATCCTAGGATTCCCATCCTTGGCCTTCTCAGCAGCCTGCATGGCTCCCTAAGCCTCAGTCTCTTCTTCTCCAATGATGCTGAACCTGCTCATGCCAGGCCCAAAGGTTGACTTTCTCCCCCCACCCCCCACATTTATTATTTTCAGGATGTGTTGTGTGAATAGGACCATTTCTGAGGACGACATGGAACTACACTGAGTCAGTGAGTTAGAAAACATTAGGCGCAGGATCCTTGGACTCTTGATGCTGATTAATCCTGTTGATGATGACAAAAGTTGCGAGCCAACAGGAGGAGAGCCCATTGTTTTTTTTCAGTGGAGTCTCTTGGTTGCTTCTACCAGTGTCTGGGAATTACTAGACCTACTGCTTGAAAGGCTGCATTAGCCAAGGTCCCCACCTAGATGGAAGTGAAATCCAGCCAGGAAAGACCCTCCAGACAGGACAGCCCCCAGGGATGGGGGAGTGAGTCCAGTCCTAAACTAAACCATCTCACCTGCCCCCGGCTTTCCCCTCCACATGTCATTCTTTACAGTGTTGGGAGTCTGGCTCATTGCAGGACGTTAGAGAAGTTTTTCTTTGGGTCTGGTGAGCTTGTTCACCAGTTCAGACCACTTTGTGCATTGCCTTGATTCTGGTGGATACTCCAGTAGGTTGTCTCCCTGGAGAAGACCACAGAGAGGGACAGTGGCTTACCAGAGCCATGCAGAGTTTCAGGCCTCAGTATTTCAGGTCTGTTGAGACTGCTCCATCACATGCTGGGGCTTCAGTAAGCCCCTTGTGGCTGCCCTCCCTTGTGCTTCTTCAAGGGCGACTTCAAGCTTGGGGAGATCTTCCGGGGCCTCCCTTCAGTTCTTCCTCAATAGGGAAGACCCGAGCAGCCTTGTACCCCCAGCCTGTTTCCCCTCCACTTCCTCTTCCTGCTTGATTACCCACGCAAGTGGGATTGTAACACCATGACCATTGCCATGGCAACAGAGCTTGAAAGATGCCATGGATCCTGGAAGAGATGTCCTGCTGGGGTCCAGCAAGAACCAGGCTGTCAAGCAAAGGAGAAAGTCCAGGGTGGCAGGGCACAGGGGATCAACAGCCTGAGTCTGCTGTGGGGGGAGGAGGTGCTAGCACTGGGGGATTCTTGGGCTCCCCCAGTTTCTCTTGGGACTTATGTGCTCATCTGCTCACTGGCTACATGGATGGCTCTCCCTGCCATGCTGTCCTTGGCACTGGTTCGTGGTGCTGAGGTTGACAATGAGAAGATAGAGTTGGGAGAGGAGAGGTGGGCACAGCTCCAGCAGCTCCTGTGTGGTCACCTGTGCCGGCTCATTCAGATGTCAGAGCAGAGAGAGTTCCACAGGCAGACACAATCTGGCTGGAGACACTGGCAGTGCATTGCTCACAGAGATGACAGGAACAGATTGTGACTGTGCTCTGTGCCACCACCCTGACTCTGAGAAAAACCCTGATGGGGGGGGGGGTCATCCCTGCTACTCTGAAGGCTACGAGGGGAGACAGCAACATCAGCAGGAACTACTGAATGACTTGGGATTTCATGAGGGACAGGACAGAACAGGAGGAAGAGGAGGAGGGAAGAAAAGAAACTCAGGGTCCCCAGGTCTGGGCTGAAGCTGTCCTTTCCTGAAATCCCTTTGGGTTTGGGCACGACAGTCACGGCCAAGGGGAAGAACACAATTCTAAGGGCCACAGCTGTGTGGATGCAGACACAAGGGGATCTCAGGAGGCGGCACTGACTGTCTGTGCTGTGTGCCATCTCTGTACATGGGACACTCATTCTCCCCACCAGAGATGGCCTCTGATAAACCCCTTCAGCCAGGTCTTACCTCTGCAACTTCTGAAGCCAGAAGCCAGGCTGGCCAGACCTGTGCTGCAAATGTAGTCACCACTGCTGGCTGGGTAACCCCAAGAGAGCCATCACACCGAGCTCTGAGCCTCAGTTTCCCTATTTGTCAAATGGGGACAACCAACAGAATCCCCCATCACTGCACTGACAGGAGGTGACTCATACAGGGGGCGGCCTGCTGGGTCTGGCGCACAGAATGTTCACTCCCTTAGGTTGGTTCAGGTACTTGGCAGAGGTCATCTGCCGACATAGTTCACACTAAATGGAGTCTGCAGGACTGGGCCCACAGGCAGAAGGCAGTAACTTCTAGGCTCTGCCCTCGTTTGTACCATCAAGGACTAGGTACCACGTACTAAGATAAAGTAATCAGTTGGTGGGGCCTTCTCACAGCGCCAAGTCCTTGGCATGAAGGGAGAATGGATGACCTACCTGGGAGGAGACTGGAGAGTCTCCTGTCAGGAGGCGGCAGTGCACATGGTTCCATGGCACAGGAGAGGAGGATGAAGGAGGAGAGGATGGGACCTGGGTTGGGGTTGGCACTGCTGAAGGCAGGAGGCAGATGCTAAGTGGTTGACACTGCTTCCAGGAAGTCCTCAGGGCTGGACCTAGGGACGCTGACCCTCCTGCATCTCCCTGGGTGGCCCTAATACACCTGGATGTGTGCGGAGGTGGCCCCATCCTTCCAGCAGCGCAGGGTGTCCACGGCGACTGAGCGGCAGAGTGGGCAGGTGCGCTCGCGATCCAGCCACAGGCAGAGGCACTCCTCGCAGAACACGTGCTGTGGGGACAGCACTCGGCATGACCAAGAGCTCTTTACTGAGCGTCCACCTTGGTCCTAGCGGCTGGAGGTGTGGCCCTCCAGGCAGGGCGACAACCTTCACCACGAGGCCAGGGTAAGCACTAAAGTGAGAGGGCAGAGAAAGGGCATGAGGTGCGTGTGGGAGGGCTCAGGATGTTGAACAAGGTGGCTGGAGGCACTGATGTTTGTGCAAATCTTGAAGGAGGGTGCCGAGGGAGCCCTGATGATATCTGGGAGGGCTCCTGGCAGAGGGGACAGCTTCTGCGAAGGCCCTGAGGTCTGCAGGTCCCTGCTGTGCTAGAGAAAGAGCAAGGAGAGCTGGCTGAGTGTGGATGGGGTGAGGAGATCGGGGAGGCAGCTGCAGGCAGGGCAGGGCCTCATGGGATGTTGTAGGAACTTTGGTTGCTATCCTAAAGGGGAATGTGGAACTCCAGGAGGGGCTCTGAGCAGAGGGTCGATGAGACTGAAGGTAGAAAGTCCCTTTGCCTGCTGGGTTGACAAGAGAACAGTCAAAAGCAAGCAGAGAAACAAGCAAGATCAACAGGCTCCCCCACCCTCTGGCTAGGCCCCAGGGACAAGTGACTTAAGATTTCCGTGCTTCAGTAAAACAGGATAGCACCCTCCCTCTCCTCTCCTCCGCGCCCCCACAGGAAAACAGTGAAAAAACACCTGGAAGGCCTGGCATCTGGCTTGATGCTTAAAGGCACCCATTAAGACGCCCGTATTCCGCACTGGAGCGCATGGGCCCAAGTCCTTGTTCCACTCCTGATTCTAGCTTCTTGCTAACACACGTCATAGCAGGGAGTAGGTAATAGCACAGATACTTGGGTCCCCGTCACCCATAGCAGAGACTTGGATTAGGGTCCCTGGCTCCCTGCTTAGGTCTGGTCCAGCTCCAGATGTTACAGGCACCTTTAGAAGAAGCCAGTAGATGGAAGCTAAGAATCTCTGTGCTTCTTAAACTAACAATCTGTTACCAGGGGACTGGCATTGTGGTAGAGTGGGTAAAGCCGCCACCTGTGATGAGCCATCCCATAGGGGCACTGGTTCAAGTCCTGGTGGTTACACTTCCAATCCAGTTCCTTGCCAATGTGTCTGGGAAAGCAGCAGAACATGACCCAACAGCTTGGACCCTGTGCTGTCCATGTGAAAGACCTGTTACAGGAAGCTCTCTGCTCACAGCCAGCTGTGCCTGCTGTGGCCACGTAGGGAGTGAGCCTGTAGATGGAAGATTTTTCTCTTTTGCTTTCCTCTGTGTTACTCTGCCTTTCAAGTAAATAAATAAATCTTTACAAACAAAAATCAGCCCTGGGAAGACCTGAATCCTGCCAAGAGCCACATGTTGGGGCCTGCAGGTGACAATGGCTGTGGTCAATACCTTATTACATCCTGTTGACAGGGTCCTGATGCAGGGTATGTGGGCCTGCCTTCCTGACCCGCAGATGTGGTGAGGTCATAATTGTTTCTCACTTGAAGTCCGTAGGTGGTGAGGTGATTCGCTGTGCACCATTGTCAAATGATACCGGAACTGCCCAAATCCATATCAGGTGCTCTTGCCTGCTACACTCAACTGTGTGATGTTCACACACGGTGGGTGGCAGGAGCGGGGTTTAAAGCACTTATTTCTGGAAAGTGATATCACTGAAAATATGACATGGACTATCATGACACACACCTCCCCAACTACAAGTCTCTTCATTGCACACCAGCCCAGCCACGACCAGACTTAAACACTAATGCTGAATCACTCCTGCGTGACAGATGACACGCCGCTCAGGACTGTCAACGTTGGTGCTTGGGGTCCTGCTGCTGCTGAGCGAGTGAAGGGAGGAGGGGTCAGAGGCAGGTGTTCAGAGCTCCTGGTGTTTCAGCTCAGCTGAGCACTTGTTCTGAGGAGGTATGGTGTACAGGCTCAACTTGACACAGCACAACCCAAGACCAGGAATTTCCGGGACAAGGACTGTGTTTGTAATGAAACTACTGGGAGACCTCAGAGCAAGAGGCCAAGGCTCATGGGAAGGGCTTGGCCAATGGCGTTAGAGGCTCAGGCTTTAACTCTTGATACAGCTTCCAGGAGCAGTGAGACTGGTTCTTTCAGAGCCCGAGTCTCCTTCTCCAGGAAACAGGGGCTGGCGCTTCCCTGCAAGGTGTCTGGAAGCTGGAGACACACAATGCACACTCTGAGGAATGGGAATCTATTGGAGCCGATGTCCCCCAGTCTGTTGCCTTTCGTTTCACACAACATGAGGAATTCTGAACTCAATGTCATCAAGGCTGTGAGGGCAGTTTGTTTTCTAAACATCTGCTTGCTCTTCCCTGCGGCAAGGAATCCTTCAAATAAAGGGGGTTTCTCATGCTGCTCAAAACGCCCTCTAACTAGGTCACCTGCAGCCTGGTGGGGCCACACCAAAAATACTGGCAGAGTGACAATCTGGGTGAGTGCCCGCGCAGAGTGCTAACCTCTGTACACACTCTGACCTGCCTGCTGAGCATCAACCTGAATCTGTCTCCGAGCCCTGGTTTGTGGTGGGGTGGGGGGATGGGAGCGACACCCTGTCACGGGTTGGTGATCTTTCCTTCCCTTCCTTTCATCCATCCACTTCTTCATTTACTCATCAATCGCCATCAATGCATCCATTCATCTATCCACCTACCACCTACTTACCAACCCATACGTCCATCTATTGTCCACCCACACGGTCATCCTCTCCTTGTACCACAAAGGTACTTACCCCTGCATATCCTCACCCACTCCTCAACCTGCTCACCATCCCATCCATCCAGCTAGCCATCCATCCTTACATCCAATCATCCATGCTACCCATTCAATCATCATCTAATTGATTCATTCATTTACCCACCCGCCCACCCCTTATTCATCATCTACTGAGCCAGAACTGAGGTTTCTGTTACTAAGCAAGACAGGCATGGTTTCTGGTCTCAAGTTCCTTATAGTTTGGCCGAGGGGAAATAGACCCAGTACAACCAGTTACAAAGCACCATTGCTAAGTGTGGCCAAAAGCATGTTCAAGAAGGCAAAGCACAAGGAACTATAGCAGGGAGCACAGCTAGTCCGGGGAGGCAGAGTCAGCTGAGCCATTCATTTATTCATCCCGAGTGAGGTGAGGAACCAGCAAGGCCCTTTCACCCGTGCTGAGTCATCCCCAGCCTTGCTGGCTCAGCAGCAGGGCTAGGCTATGGATGCTCAGCCTGGTGATGGCTGTCGTTAACCACCACTGAGCTGAGACAAGGGCATCTGGTTGTCTGGTTGGAGCCCTCCTAAGGATGTCTAACCCAGCTGAGGGAAGGCATCGTGGAACCAAATGAGAAAAAGGCCCACAGACTGTGGCTGAGAGAGACTGCCAGAGAAGAAAGACTTCTACCTTGACGTCATGTGCAAACAATCCCTGCTCTTGAGAAGGAGACACAGATGGCTCGGGAGGATCTGAAAAGATGCTCAACCAGGCTCATAATTAGGGAAATGCAAATTGCAACTACACGGAGACAACATTTGTTACCTGTCAGATGGGCACAGCTCAAAGAGGAGCTGGAGAACACCGAGTGCTGCTGAGGAGGGAGCGGGAGCTGGGAGCGTATGCGGGTGCCTTCTCTGGGGAGGGCAATTTCGCAATAGCTGTCAAAACTGCGCACCCTCTGACCCTGTGATTCTACCGCTAGAAATTTATCCTACCAAGAGCCTGTGAATGTGTGAAATGGAATGTGCGTCCATAAGGACTAATATTTATTGAACTCTGACCACGTGCCAGGTGTCGTTCTAAATGCTACACTTGAAATAACTCGTTTAATCAACACAATGGGCCCAGGCAGGTGCAATTGATCGGCCCATTTCAGATCACTTCTGACAGTCATATTTGTCATAACAAAAGATTAGAAGCTACTAATGGTCTATCAGTAAGAGAATGATTAAACAAATAGTGGTCTATCTATGAAATCGCATGTTCTACAGCTATCATACAGAAGCAGCAATTCTGAAGACGGAATTTCAAGTTAAAAAGGCAAGGTGTAGGAAGCAGCTTGGGTACAATATGCAACAACTTATGTTGTTTTAAAAAAAGAGGGGCCTGTGTGTGTATACACATGTACATATATGAATATGTAAATATATGTAAATTGTATAAAAACATGTCTTGAAAGACACCAACGGATTTGGTAATGGTGGCTGCCTGTGTGAGTAGATTGAGCATTAGGGTATTATAGGAGGCTGGTCCCCTTTCTTCCTTTTCTATTTTTCAATGCATTTTTAAAATATTTTACTCTGAAATCATTAAGGCTTACAGAAAAGTTGTACAGACAGAATGAAAAAGCTCTACACACCCCTCACCCACTTTGCCTCCTTGAATGTCATCAACTTGCATCCCCATGGCACCTTCATCAAAGCCAGGAGACCCACCTTGATACGCTCCTATAATTACACTGAAGACCAGATCTGGGGTTTAGCAAACAGCTGTTCCCTTCTTTCCCTTCCAGAATCCAACTCTGGCCCCACAATGCATTTACTCATCCTGTTTCCTCAGGTTGTTTCTTGAGTCTCAATTCATACAAATAAGTGATCGATTTGAATGGAAAAAAAGTTGGGGGAGGGCGTTTGGCCTGGGAGTGGTGAAGACATTGGCATCCTACAGACAAAGTGGTTGAGTTGGAGCCCCAGCTCTGCTCTCGATTCCTGCTGACATACACTCCAGGTGGGTGCAGATGGTGACCTAAGTACTTGGGTCCCTGCCACCTCTATGGAAGACCTGGATTTCATTCCTGGCTCTGGCTTCAGCCTGGCACAGTCCTGGCCACTGCACACATTTTAGAAGTGTATCAGAAAACAAGAGTTTTTGCTGTCTGTCTCTGTACCCCCGTTCAACTAAAACAATCCCCCTCTAGTATCTTTAATCAGCAATAATGATTTTTGTCAATGCTGAAGGAGGACGCCCACCTTCTTCCTTCCCCCTCTGGAAGGTGGTGAGGGGAGCCATCTGCCTTTCCCTTCCTCCATGTCTCCAGGCCTCGGTCTTCTCCACACAGCCTCCTCCCTCCCTATCCTGGGACTCTTGGGTCTCTACCCCCTGGGATGCTGCATGAATCTCTCTTCCACAGCGCTGAGCACTGCCTGCCTTGGCTCACAGTCATTAAAGTGTCTGGCTCTCTGGGGACACCAGGAACTCTCAGAGCAGGGAACGGGCTTGTGCCCTCACTTCCCTGGAGTCTGATGGGATGCTTTTGCCTTTTGCCCAACACACATCTGGTGACCTGACACCCAGGCCCTGGGATTGGGGGTGGGGCGCAGGGATGCGCAGAAGGAGGTCAAACACGATGGACAGCACTTCCTATTGTGAACTGATGACCCACCTCTAACAACAAAAACAAATGGCAGTAACAATGACGCTGATCACATAAAGCTAGCAACTTCTACGGCTGAGTAATTCAAACTTGGCTTTTTCCCACAGATGGTCCTATTCCGCGGTTGCAATAGCTCTAGGATAGCAGGTGCTGTTCTCATGTACATTTTACATGGGAGGAAAAACCAAGTCTGAGTGGGATGGAGAGACCACTGAGGGTCCAGGACGTCTTTGAGATTCACATTTGGGATACTCTGATGGGACACTTCCTTTGACCAAGGAAATGGGTGATCAGAGAGGGTAAGTAACCTGACCAAAGCCACCCAGCTGGTAAGAGACACAGATGAGATCTGCAACTGGATCTGGCTGACTCCAGTCTTGACCCACACAAGCACGCAGCATTTTGGTCATGGCGCAGAACACAGCTCATCTCCAGGGCCCTGGCCCTGCTGTCCTGAGCTTCAGCTCCACTCACCTGGCACAGGAGTATCAGAGGGTCTCGGAACTCAGCCTGGCAAATGGCACAGATGTCCCCAGCTTCTGTGCACTGCTGCCCTGTGGCTCGCACCCCATAATTCTGTTTGAGGCAAGGGAGAGGCAAACACAGTTACGGACCATGTGACAGCGAGATTCTGGGGAGCACCATGAGATCCGCAGGCCAGGGAGGGGCTGTCGCTGCTTCCACTTCCTGGTTCCTGGGACCTCAGCGGGGTCACCCACTCACCTGGGAGGTGCAGAGCAGCTTCAGGGCTTTCCTCACTCCGCCAACACGGCCACAGATGTCGAAGGACTGTGAGGAAAGCAGGACCACTGTTGAAAAGCATCCGGGGGTTGTTCAGCGTCCCCCACTTCCCAGAGCCTCCCCACAGCCACTGTCTGACTCAGACCATTTTCAGGACATTTCTTCTTGTTTGAATTCTTCATTCTCACTACTTTCGCTGCCTGATGCCAACAGTCCCCCGAGCTCCCTAGGTCAACATAGCTGAGAAATGGCACACACACTGCCTTTCCCCACGCCTGAGGTTGGGGCAGGCATTGCTGATCAATCACCGAAGTATGCCATCAAGCCCAGAGAGATTCTGAGAATCTTTCTCCATTCCATAGTTAGCCACTGCCAGTTGATCAGAATTAGCAAACAGGGTAAGTTCCAATGACAAACACTGCATGGTTATGTATGCTGGGGAGAGCAAAACAGAATATATGCCTTCCCCAGCAGTAACTAGTGTCAGAAATAGAGAAGAAAGGGCAAGACGCAGTTTTGAATTTTCCATCTGAGAGAGTGTGGGGGAGAGGACTTTAACCCACTGGTTTACTCCACAAATGCCACAATGATGGGACTGGGTGGAGGACAAAGCCAGCAGTTGGGGAGTCAGTCCAGCTCTCTTCATGGAGTAAAGGGGCCCAGTCACTTGAGTCATCACTGTGCCTCCCAACGTCTCCATGAACAGGAAGTAGGCATGAGCGTCAGGAGCCAGAAACAGGCATTGAACCCAGGCACCAACAGGAGACGTGGGTGTCTTAACCACTAAGTCAAATGGCTGCCTTTTGACTTGAGGGCAGGGGAGGATCCATGTCTAAACTAACAATAAGAAGAAAAGCACTGGCAAACTCAGTGGCACTGTGGTTACCAAATCCCAGTCCTGCAGGCAACCAGCCTGTGCCTGATGCTGCGTCTGGCTGAGTGGTCACAGGCAAGGGACTTTATGCCCCCAGGCCACAGATTCCTCACCTCTAGGGCAGGAGTAATAATGGAGTCTGTGTTGAATGGCTGTTGTCAAGAGGAGGAGACCTGGAAGAAGCTCTTGGCTCCTGGTTTCAGATCAGCTAAGCTCCAGCCGCGCTGCTGCTTGGGGAGTGAATCAATGGATGGAAGATCTTCTCTGTTTCTCCTTCTCTCTATATATCTGACTTTCCAATAAAGCTAAATAAATCTTTAAAACTATTTAAAATATATTACAATATAGATGACCTACAAAGGTATTACGTTAAGTTAAATAAGCCCTATGCCAAGAGGCAGACATTGTCAGACTGTTAAGATGAAGCAGTTAGAAAGTGGACCAGTGGCTGCCATGAGCTAGGGAGGGGGTGGGGTGGAAGAGTGGGGAACAGTACTTGAGGGACACAGGGCTTCTTTCTGGGGTGATGAATGTTATCTTAAGCAAAGGTGCTGGCTGCATGCCTCTAAGTGTCCTGGCAGTATACACTTTGAAAGACGAGTGGGTTTGTTGGGTGCCACGTAGATTTCACATCAATCACGTGATGACTTTGGGTTTCTGGGAGCCCCCCAGCAGGCCTGAAGGATGAGTGGGTCCTCCCCCCAGCACCTCACCTTGCAGAGACTGTAGAGAATGATCAAGACTCCTCCTAGGAAGTAGCTGTTGGAGGCATCATCCCCCATGATGTACTTGTACCACAGCTGGATGGGGACCAGGGAGCGGAAGAGCTGGCTCAGTTCCTCGATGATCAGGTAGAACTTGCCCTGCAAGCACACAGGCGGCAGCCATTACCATCCCAGAGGACATGACCAAGTGGCCAGTCCTTGCACAGACCACGTGTTCACTGGCTTCAGGGAGCACAGTGCTGGCTCACTTTTGAGTTGGAACAAGGTGCCCGAGTGTGTGTTTGGTAGCCCTGCTAAGGTGGATGAACAGGAGTTGGGCCAGCACAGCAAATGGGGACAGGACTAGGCAGGACAGCGTGCTTTCCAGAGGTGGATGAAGGAATGCGCCTCTGGGTGCTTCCCGAACATCCAGCACACAGCAGATGCTCACCTAACTCTGAAGTTAGAGTCCACCCTCGTTACTTGCATAAGCTTCCTAGATGGGAAAGTGCTGGAACACCTCCCTCCACAAGCAGGCACGGGTATGCCAGAAATTAAAGTGCAGGCCACGAGTGCCGCCACAGCACCAGGGTGAAGGCAGCAATTAGCTTTGAGAGAGAGCAGGAGCCATCGGGGAAAACTGGGCATTTCCCAGTGAAACTTTCACTCGCTAATTAAGTCGTGTTATAATTCCAGGTTTCGTGAGCGTGTTATTTCTGAAGACTACTGAACGGAACATGGAGCTTCTCTGGGGTGTGGGAGAGCCAGGAGAGCGATCAGATTATACGGCAGTGATAGCTGTTGTCAAGGAATTTGCTGGGCAAGCACTGGCTCTTGGCTTGGATTCTGATGGAAAGAGGCGGGCATGGTGGAGTTGGGAAAGTGGAGTCTATTCCCCAGGGCCAGGAACAGGAGCGGGCAAGACAGGGAGTGCGGGAAGCCAAGGAAACAGCAAAGGGCTCCCTCCCGGAGGAGCTGGCGGATGAGGGAGAGCCAGGTGCTGTGAACCAGAAGACAAGGATGGAGGAGAGTGCTTGAGAATGCATTGACATGGGACAGTCATCCTGGGGAACTGTGGGAAAGAGGCAGGGGAGATGTCATCAGACACCTGTTAGCCTAGCCAGGGAGGGAATAATGGGTATTTATATAGGATGAGTATTTATATAGCTCTGCTGTTTCTGAATCTCTTTCACACACATGTGCTTGGCTATGGGGGCTTAGCCAATGATGGGCATGGGATTTGGCATTCTGAGGTCACTTTTGATACCTTACTAGAGTGATTAATGTAGAAAATAGTTTTTTTGGTTCGTTCGTTTGTTTGCTTGCTTGTTTGTTTTAATTTGAAAGGCAAAGTTGGCGAGAGAAAATCTTTCATTCACTGGTTCACTGCCCAAACTTCCCAAATGGCTGCAATGGCTGGGCTTGGCCAGGCCGAAGCCAGAAGCCAGCAGCCAGGAGCTTCATTCAGGTTGCTGACGTGGGGTAGAGGGGCTCAAGCACTTGGGCCAGCTTTTGCTACTCTCCCAGGTGCATTCATAGGGAGCTGGGTTAGAGGTAGAACAGCTTGGACTACCAGAGGCCATATGGGAGCTGACACTGCAGGCCGCAGCTTTAACCACTGCTCCACAGTGCTGGCTCCTGATGTGGGCAATAATGCGACCTGAATACTTCTAGAAGATCAGGGGAAAATATGGAGTGGGTGATTGAGCCTAGGAGCAAAGATGCTTGGGTCCCAGAACAGAACACCCAGATTGGACAGTGGATTCTGACTCCTGACTCCAGCATCCTGCTAACGCAGACCCTGGGAGATGACGGCTGCGCTATAATTGGGTTTCTGCCACCCCTATGGGGAGACCTGGATTGAGTTTAAGCTCCTATGTCTGGTTCTAGCTCTGGCCCAGTCCCAGCCACTGCAGGCATTAGAGAGCGAAGCAGAAAATGAGTGACCTCTGTCTTTCAGCCTTTCCAATTAAGAAAGAAAGAAAGAGAGGGAGAGAGAGAAAGGAAGAAAGAGATAAAGAGAGAAAGAAATAAAGAAAGAAAGAGAGAGAAAGAAAGAGAGAAAGAGAGAGAGAGAAAGAATGAGAAAGAGAAAGAAAGAAAGAAAGAACGAACCCAAAGAAAAAATACAGTTGAATCAACGATTGATTTTGGTGCAAAAATTTTTTGAGTTCCGTAAATAGTTTTTTCATAGTATACATTCTCAATGCAATTTTTTGGAGACCTTCCTATGTATGGATTTCACATCAAAGTAGTTTATCTTAATTCGATGCTCCACGAACACTTGGAAGCACTACTAGCAGGACACATACATATACATGCATGATGAGAGACAGAGATGATTTGGACATAAATAACACACATGCAGAGATGCGCTGGTAGATCGAACCTCTTGGGGGAAAATGGTTCTGATTTGCATGTTTGCCAATTTCTGGGGTGTAAATACTCCCACAAGGCCCACTTGAAGCCACAAGTGTCTTAAGGACTGCTCACAAACTTGCTGGAGATTTCTCTCAGCTCTCACAAGGCATAACAACCCAGATCCAGTGCAGCAAAACAACCGTGAAAATTAAGTGAGTGCAGAAATGTAAAATACAGGTGCACAGCCTGGGAACAGCTGGTTGCGACTTCTGATAAATGAGGAATATGACTGTTACGCTGATTTCATGTAGTTCAGGGATGAGCAAAGACAAGTTCAAAGAATTAAGGGACACTGAAATGCAGACTGAAGACATCTGGGGCTCCACATTTAGGCCTAAAGCAACCCAGCAGCCATGGCTCCCTCCCCTCACTGGATCTGCTTCTTCCAGCAGCCAGGCTGGGAGAAACGAGGCTATAGGGAGAGCTGGGGAAGTGGCCACATGGAGAGGGGATGGCTTCGAGCCTAAAGAGGAGAAGCAAGGATATCAGCCCACTGTGAGGCCCGAGAGCTCCAATCCTGGACATCCAGAAGCCCCACCAGCCAAGGTAGATGCCCGGGAGTCAGACGCCATTGTGGGTGGTCCCGCCCCAACATGTGCCATGTGGAAGAGGAACTAGATGTCCTCCTGGCGCCCTGTCTGCCCTGTATGATGTGTTAAAAAGCATGAGGAGAGGATATGACGTACAATGGGAGGATGCAAATTGGCTCCATGCAGTTTAGGCCATTTGACATCAGGGAATTACACATGTGTGGATTTTGGTGTCTAGAGGAACACGCAGTCCAGGGTCGCTAAACAGGGATGGGGGCATGAGGCCAGGATTCAAGTGTAGCCTGGTTCCCCAGCTGGTGCTCTGGGCCACTGGCAAGGAACAGAAAAAGAGAAATCCCAGGAGACAAAAAGTGAGATGCGGGGAAGGAGAAAGAAAAACAGCTTGGGGGCGAGGAATGAGGCCAGGGAACTGGAGAGGGATGATGTTTTCAGAATAACAGGGGGCCCTTGGTGGGCCACGGGAAGGGGCACATTGCACGTTTGTGATGTCCCCGGGTCCCACGTGGCTGCTGAGCTCTGGAGAGGTGGCTGATCGGGAATGAGATGTCAAGCAGAAAATGCACAGGGAACTTCAAAGCCTCGGAAAACCCACAACAAAGAGGCAGCACTATAGCTCCCAACCTTCGCCTGTCAATCATGTTGTTCACAAACTCAGTGTCTCCTGCCAGGGCCCTGCAGAGGCTGGATCTGGGACGGATACACTTCGATACAGGATCAAAGAGAAACAGGAGAGCAAGACAGGATGCAGAGAGCAAAGCACGGTAGGCGGAGGCGGGCGGGACTCGGGGAGCGTGCGTCGCCTGGCAACGGGTGTTGTGGTGATGTCACCAGCCCAACTCCCCTTCTTGGTGGAGCGGGCCGGCTGGGCAGCCTCCCCCTCCTCCTCCCGGGGCCGGGATGAGATCACCGCGGCAGGCGGCAGGCTGTCCCCGCGCTCCCAACAAATCGACTCCTTTGCGAGCACCGGCATCTCATGATCTCATGGCCCCGCGGGACGGCGCTGGCAGATGAGGTCAGAGCCCGCGTCCCGGGCTGCCTCGCTCGGCTCTGCACACTTCGGCTCTGCGAAGCGAGGGCTCGGGGCTCCTCTTTGAGAGGCTCTCGGCCTCCCCGCACAAAGGAGCAAAGCTGCCTCTACCATCCTTGTCCCTGCCCACAACTGGACTCTCCTGCACCTGCAGCGTCCCCAGCTGATGAACCAACCTGCAACAACCGGGAACAGGCACTTGACGTGCACCAAGGGCTATGCTCTGTGGCTCTGGGTTAAGGCGTGGCCACCACAGGGAAGCTGAGAGGCAGTTGTAGAAGAGAAAATGCGATTTCTTTGAAATACATTCACATAGCAATGGGGTACAGATTTTGGCTCAATGTTATGACGACCCAAAGGCCTTTCTACTTAAGCCTTCCATGAATTCTTGAACTTTCTTCCTGGTGCTTGTCACAATTTGAAGTTTGGTGTATTTAATGGCAATCTCCCCATGGCAGCAGGGTCCCTGTCTGTCGGGGCTGGCCTGCTTCACTCACGGTCATATTCCCCCACCACATAGTACCTGTCATTCAGTAGATGCTCAGAATGTATATTTTTTGGAATGAATGTGAAGAGCGAGTGGCTCTGGCTAGTGGATAGTGCTGATAATGGGGTGCAAGTTCCTAGGAGGTCCAAGTCCTTTGGCACATGTACCTAGCTCACAGTCATGACCCCCTGGTGCTTGCCCGAAGCCTCTATGTTTGTGAACTTCCTGCCGCACTGACAAGCCAGATGCTCTGGCTTCTTAACCTACAGTGTCCTGGCAACACAGAGGAGAGGGGAGGCAAGAAGAAGAAGCCTGTGGGAAGTCAGGTAAGGAAGGGAGGTTATAGATGCTTACACCTACACTGGACTTTCTAATCAGAGCTCAGCCAGAAAGCAGACGTGAAAACCACAAGAACAGGGCCAGTGCAGCGGCTTACGCTAATCCTCTGCCTGCAGTGCTGGCATTCCATATGGGTGCCGGTTCAAGTCCCGGCTGCTCCACTTCCCGATCCAGCTCCCTGCCTATGGCCTGGGAACGCAGTGCAGGATGGCTCATGTCCCTGGTCCCCTGCCACCCACAAGGGAGACCCAGAAAAAGCTCCTGGCTTCGGATCTGCTCTGCTCTGGGTGTTGGGGCTACTTGGGGAGTGAACCAGCATATAGATCTCTATCTG